CCAAAAAAAAAAAAAAAGTATAGGTAATTATTTAGGCCCCTATAGTAGGGTTTAAGCACTCTCCTCAGTTACCAGAAGCCACCGAGAAAGTCTCCTGGGACTGCTCGAGGGATCCAAGGTGTGGTTGAAGAGGGTTACGTTTCCTGGGTTTAGGGTCAAGGGTTTTAGGGTGTAGAGTTTAGGGTTGAGGGTGTAGGGTGTAGGGTGTAGAGTGTAGGGTTTAGGGTTTAGGCTTTCGGGTTAGAGTTTAGTGGTCCATTGTCGATCTGGCCTCAGGAATACCCTGCCGAGCAGAAGCAACTCGCCAGGCTTGCCGCTCTTGCAATCCGAGCCTAAACCCTAAACCCTAAACCCCTAACTCTTAAATCCTAAACCCTAGAGTCTAGTTGGGGCTTAGTAGTGCTGGGACTTCGGGTTCAGGGACTTCTGATCAACCGGGGTCTAGGATGCTTCGAATGAGTTTGCTTACAGGTCCATTCGATCATTTACTAGATGCTTTTGGCCCAAAAGATGCCCGAAGGGAAATGCTTTGCGATCAAAGGGTTTTAGGTATGAGCCGTTCAAAGACTTCGTAGAAGCCTCTAAAATCCTCTAAACCTTACAACCTGAAACCCTCAACCCTAGACCTTCTCCTAAACCCTAGAACACTCTATAACCCTAAACCCTAAACCCTAAACCCTAAACCCCTAGAGTTCTAGGCCCAGCCCTCCACCCCCTTTTCACAAAACAAGACTCGGAAGAGCCGGTCCTCAGATGCGATTGACACGATCGCTGCCCTGCTGGAAGACCCTCGGTTTCTGATTTTGGTTTTGGGGTATTGCGGGTTTAGGGTTTAGGGTTTAGGGTTTAGGGTTTAGGGTTTAGCAGGGGATCGATAAGAATTCCTCTAGGGGTTTATGTAAGCGGTTCTTAGGGGTTTGGGGCTTGAGGAGCTTTAGGTGACCTGAGGGTTGAGAACGGATTCTCAGCGTCTCGGTAAACAAAGATGCACTGAACAGTAACGCGACCATAGGGCTTCAAGAGGGCGAAAGGGGCCTTATATATAGTAGGGCTACCTTTGATGTATCCCTGAAAGAGCAGAGGGAGCTTTAAACAGAGCCCATGGGTCTCACAGGCCTAGTTTCGAGGGTTTCAAGAGCATGGTTGCCCTTAGAGTTCTAAACATCTGCGACCTGGAAGGTCACCATACACTACGATTCTGGAATTCGGGCCCCCGAAAACAATAGCCTTGTTTTGCGCGACCTAATTCCATAACGGTAGTATTTATGGACCCTCTGGGAAAGCTAGAGCAAGTATGATGAGTGTCAGGGCCTCTACTTTAGGGTTTAGGGTTAAGGGTTCAGGGTTTTTAAGGTTTAGGGTTTAGGGTTTAGGGTGTAGGGTGAGGGTTCAGGGTTTTAGGGTTTAGGGTTTAGGGTTTCACGAACCTGAGGGTACTCATTTGTTCAGCTCTTTGGTCGTCTGCTTGACCTACAACAGAAACACACACACACACAGTGCGTGTGTGTGTATGTCTATACGCACACATGCATGCCTACATACACACATATCCCTGCACACACGAGCCTTCAAACTCGAGTTGGTTTGAATACTCCATTCAGGCTTTTTGTTTGTTTCTGATTCGTTGTCCCCCCTTTGCTCCCTAAACTCTATTAACCTTAGACCCTGAACCCTAAACCCTAAACCGACCCTAAACCCTAAACCGAAATATAGCTTTCTTTTTGGGTTGTGAATGTCCGGCTCTGGGCACCTCTCCCCGGCCTTCAAAAGCCCGAGAATTTTTGGGCGACATGTTCGGGCTCCTACTATATCCTATAAGGTCTATTCCCCAATTATGGGGTAGTGGGAGGTCTGGGTAGGTCCCTAAACCCTGAACCCTAAACCCTAAACCCTAAACCCTAAACCCTAAACCCTAAACCCTAAACCCTAAACCCTAAACCCTAAACCTTAACCGTCTGCTCCCAGGATCCCCACACCGGGCAGAACTTGTACAAGGCACTGCGGTGCCGAGGCTGCAATTAGTCTGTTTAGGTTTAGGGTTTAAGGTTTAGGGTTTAGGGTTTAGGGTTTAGGCTTTTTGGTTGCGGTTGCCGTTGAGAGGTTGCATCAAGTCTGGTGGATTGAGGGTTTAGGATTTAGGATTCAGGGTTTAGGATTTAGGTTTAGGGTCTAGGGTTTAGGGCTCATTAAGCCCTGGTGGGTGATTCGGCTGCTTAGTTGTCATCAGATTTGGTGGCTGGGCATTGGTCCCGTTGATGGAACCCTAACATGGATACGCTAGACCTTCCGATGTCCTTTAATTCAGGAATGGACCTTAAATCATGGTAGGATCCCTCGTTTGATCTGAGGTTTTTATGCCTTAATTCCCTAAACCCTAAAGATTGAACCCTAAACCCTAAACCTATCAAAGGATTCTTGAGGGTCTGGGTGCATCAGCCCCAATGAAGCTCCGTGGGCTTCCAAATCAGTCCAGGGTACTTATGAAGAGCCTTTGGGTTTAGGGTTTTGGGTTTTGGGTTTTGGGTTTAGGTTTAGGGTTTAGGGTTTAGGGTCCTGGGGTTTAGAGTGTAGCGTTTAGGGTCTAGGGCGCAGCTATGATGCAACCCAGCCAGAACCTCAGCGACTGTATATCAGTAACTGTATGTCAGTAATAACTACTGTAGCGCCAGGTAGGTGAAAAGTTCACGTCAACTTCTACTCGGACCGAGTAAGGAAGAGTTCAGGGTGTGCGGCAGTGCAGTGCTTCGGGTTTAGGGTTGCTTGGGGTTTACAGGGCGTAGGGTGTGGGGTTTAGGGTTTATAGGGGCTTCGTGGTTTAGGTCTGAAGGTTTCATGTTCCTTCATGCAATCTGGAACTTTGTAGAAATCTGTTAAACAAAGCCTAAAAAACCCAAAGCTTCTTTAGCAAGCTAAGAGCCTTGAGCTGCTTGGAGATACATGGAGCATCAAGCAGATGAGCAGGTATGTTTTTCGAAGACACCTCAGCATTAAGGCTCATGGCGTAGGGTTTAGGGTTTAGGGTTTAGCGAATCAGAAGCTGGTCAGGTGTCTTCGCCATGTGGGCAGCTTTTGGTGACTCTGCAAACTCCCCACAAACACACGTACTCACAAAC